AACTGCGGGGAACTATGCAAAAAACGCATCTTCGCACGGGCAGCCCGTGCGTTGGCCAATTATTCTTTTTGTTAAATATATTTTTTGTTATCAAAACCATCGTACTGACGAGGCTCAGCTGCAGTACTAAATAGGAATGTACACGACTTAATGGACTGAAGTATTCCTGTGGACTGGAACATGGACTGAAACATTAGGTCCCTCATTTTCATTTGAGCTTTTTTCTCGATTTTTTTTTTTTTTTATAATCAGATTCTCTCGATTCATTCGAAAAAGCATTGAAAAAACAAATCGCGTTCATGTTTATCGATTTTATTCGATTCCGCCAATAGGCAGGTAGTTCCTTATTTCGAAGAGATTACCGGCCCGATAACTCTCCTGATCAAAGCACTTTGATTAAGCTTGAACCACTTCGAGATTCATTACCTCGTCTCCAAGAGTTAGCATCACTCGTGCTTAATGAGTTACCTTGCCTTCTGCGATGAATCCGATTACACACGAACAATTTGACATCACTTGCATGACGTTATGTAACGTAGCGCAACTCCATTACTTTTTTATTAACTTCTTCCTTCAATTACCGTTCGCTTCCCTTCTGAGATATTCGAGGTAAGGTCAGACATCTGTGGTAAGTTAAAATAAACATTCTGCACAATCCCTCTTGCATCTTTAGCTAAATTTAGACGTCAGTGATACGCTGGCAAGTATCCCTCTCGAATTCTTAATTTTGGCTCGGAGCTGTTACCGAGGAAACCACATATGAATGGTTCGTTTCTGCGGCTTACTGATACTAAAATGCGTAGAATGCCGAGAATGAAACCACTTTCAGTATACTTTTTAAATAGTTCTTGAAAAATTTGGAATCTGGCCTCTGGCGATCCTTACGTTCGTTTCATCTCCTGAAGGGTTAACCGGTTTAGCGTTACAAGCACTTGTAAAGGCTTTAGCAGTATAGAGCTGTCCCTGATGTATGTTGAGCAGCAGCTCGTTTTGAACGTCTACCGCTCGTAGACCAACTATTAAAGGATTCTCCATAATGTGGTGGAAACAGACTGTAACAAAAGCACTGAAATGTTGGAGAAAGATTTTAACAGAAGTGGACATGGATTTTACAGAAACATTGAAATCTCGTTCTGTTAGTTATTCTTTTCTCTATTCCAAGAATCAGTGAAGTAACATCAAAATCCCCTCTTGTTTTTTTCTCGCTCTTTTTTAGTTATGTTCTAATTACATTACTGATAGGGATACTTCTGTGCGATGGCTAAAAAGCAAGCCTAAGTCAAGTTGGATACAAATTTGCACTTTAGAAATGAACCGAAATGGTTTAGCCATTTACTGTTTTAAAGCTTTCACCAGATATTCTCAAAGTAGTGACCGAGAGTGGCAACATCAGTTTAGCAAAATTCCCCGAAAAATGTCGGTAGGCAGTCTCGATGTTATCACAGGATCAGTTTATGTGTCAGGCCGTTTCGCACTGAACTGCACTTCTCTAATTCACATCTGCCAAAAGCGCGTTATCTCTTCGATAGCCATCCGGCCGATTGCTATCGTCCTTGTGAGTATCACTTGCTGATAAGAAATTTATATTTCTTTGTCTTCGTGAGTACCAATTCTTGATAAGAAGCATATCAAAAATGTCAACCACCTCCCTTTTCCATGTATTCTGTTTCCTGTGAGAGGCGAAAATACTCGAGAAGAGACATGTATTTTTCCGAAACTTTCTAGGACTGATGGCTCAAAAACAGGATGACGGTCGGTTGTCTCGGATATCGGCAGATGAAGGGTGTGTGTGTGTTTGTGATTGCCACACAATCACCGCATCACACACATACACACACTGTGTAAGCTTTAAATTAGCTTGGGAAATCTCTAATCGATATTATTATTCGTTTGGAGGTCGCCTGTTAGTTTGCAGTTTTACCTCATCCTTCCGCCTTTTCTCCCTCCTTCCCTTTCCCTCGTTTGTTGCGATAACAATCCACAAAGTCCTCAGCTTCTTCCCTTCCTCACGCTACTCCTATTTCATTTATTTCAACTTTTCTGTTTTTCGATCTCAATTCCCGAAACATCGTCGCTCCGTTAGCAGTTGTTGTCGCTGCGCATCTCTCAATCTTCCGCTCCTCGGACGATTGGATACGGTTAGTTTTATCCATTATTGTCCCGGACAGTTCTTTCACTCATTAACATTTCAAAGTTTCATTTCGGTTTTTCGGCGTTTTTCCTCAATCGCCAGCATAAAGAGGCATTACTGAGGTTCGGCATCCAAGTTCTTAGAACAAAATTTTACACGAAATATGTTTAGTAAGCAAATTGCTAAAGAAAAACAACAACAAAAGAAGCCACTAGAACTATCGTGACGGTGATGATGATGATAATTGTAAAATTAATAGTTACAGTAATCATCAGTACAATCCTCGTTAGTTCTTTCATTATTATCACTATCAAAATCATGATTATATGAAATACACACACACACATACAAACAGATACAACAGAAAAACACACACACACACACACGTGGACACAAGCACGGACACGCACGCGGACACACACATGGACAACTCACACACACGCAAACAAGTACACACGCGAACACAGACACACACGCATACTTAGACACAAAAGCACACACACACATTTGTATAGATATTTCGATAAATTTGCTCACTTTGGTAGCATCTTCACTGCTCCACACAGGCACCGGTCGCCCGTCCACTGACGACTACAATTCCGCATATTAGCAGCAGCATCGCCAGCAACAACAGCAGCATCAGCATCTTCTCATCCATACGGTCCACATTGCTCAGCTGCTTGATGGCTTCTCGTCCTCTTCTTCCTCACCATCACTGTCATCATCATTATCATTATCGACGTCATTATCAGTACCATAATAACCAGCCGGACTTGTATCAATGACTGTTAGTTTACCTGATTTTTAAAATGAGCCGTCAAACAGTCAAAACTGCAATATGTAGAAATACTGGAAAGTAGCTCAAGTGCAAGCACATGCCGACAGTAACACCGCACTGGTAAAAATGTACCTCGGAAATCAATGAACGAATCGCAGAGGGATTGGTTGTCCGACTGATGAAGTCACACCTCCGCGTTCTCACTGCAGAAGTAGCGAATACAGTGCCTAAAATGAAAATTATGCCCTTGGGATCAAGGAGCAGAAATGCGTACAGTGGTACTGCAGCTTCGCACTGATACTTCAGCTACTTAGCTCCGTCTCATCGCAATGCACCTTCGCAGGACCCGCGCAGCTAGCAATCATTCCGTGATTGCTGTGAGTGAAAGTGTTCTACAAGTTACTATTTTTGTTATTTTTGTTTCATCATCACCTTTCTCGTCACTGATGCAGCTAACAGCTTCTCCATTCTTCTCTGTTTTAGGCCTTATAAAGCCGCTTGAGTGGGTCCCTCCACCGCACTGACGACCTTCCTCGTATTCTTTTTACACTATTCGGGTACCACTCAGCAATCCATTTTGTTCATCTGTTTCTCACTCTTGCTACTGTTTACCGGTCTGTCCATTCACATTAGCACTGACAAATTTTTAGTCGCTGGCTAGGCACGATTTTATTGATGAACTAAAAATGCCAAAATACGGCCCTCTGAGAGGCTATGGAAAAATAAAAGGAGAATGGAACAAACAAGGTTTGGAAAAAACTCTTTCGCACCGGATGTCAGCTCTGCTTCACTTCCATTCAGTGCCAGTATTGATTCATCCTTATAAAAATGAGGCGAAAAAAATGCGAAAAGGAGTGTTGTCCGTTTGAACATACAGGACTGGATATTTCGGGAGCATGAGAAATCAAACTTCTCTCTTCCCGGCTCTTTGGTCCTCGAAGGAAAATGCTATCTCGTAGACGTTGCGTGGCATTGTTGCGTGATAATGATAATAATAAATAATAATAGATAATAGCAATAAATAATGACTGATGATAAATAACAAACAATAATAATAAATAGCGATGGATAATAATAATAAATAATGGTAAATAACAATAATAGTAGTACTTGTCTAGCTTCGTATTATGTCTCAAAATAATCTTATACTTTTATCTCGTAACTGAAATGGGTTCCAAACTTCGAAAAACCAAGACTGCCAAGAAACACTCGTGGTGCTGGTCTATAAATCCTATGTTAGTGTTGTTACTGTGGCTTAGCCTTGCTAGGTCTCTAGATCCTGGGCTACATACTTCCAGTTAGTATCCACCGTCTGTTTGATGCATATGTTCCTTTTTCCGGGCACTGCCGGAGCGGTTGTTTTTTCTCGCAGATACCATTTACTAATGCGCAACGTCCTCCCTTGTTAGTAAAGCAAGCAAATAAATTTTGTTAGCTCGAAAAACACTGGTGCTAAACATGCAAAGTTGCAACTTTTTTTCTAAACATTGAGTCATAAGCTATCACGTTTTCCCTCATATCCTCGTCTTTTCGAGTTAAAAGAGCATCCTGTGGTTTCTTCCACATTTGCTTGTACCACTCATCAACTCCGCTATTGTAACTGTTGGATAACTTTTGGACAGGATTCAGTATCTCGCAGAGGACATCCTTCGGACAGATAAGTTTTCGGACTTTAAAGTGAGATTCCGATAAAAATATAATCAGGCTTTAACACTCACCCCCGAAAAAAATGTCATCCTCATTTTGACAGACTCTGAAGCACGCAATTAGCTAAAATTCAAAGCATTTTCAGGCGCAGTTTTATTATTCCAGCAAACAAGACATACGTCATACGCTCAAGTAATACCAAACATTTGAATTGCGTCTTCAGCAGTGCTTCCCAGCCAAATTTTGAATGAGATTACTACTGACTACTTTTGCGTTTTGGATAAAACCGTTATTATTTGAGTTCTAGACTGGTCGCATAAGAGGTGAAATGCAACGAGAATAGTGAGTTCATATTTGAAGGACTCACCGTTTACCATTAAAATTTGAATATGGGTACAGTTGTTAAGTCGCGCAGGACCTCAAAGTTGTTGTTAACGCCAGTACATATTCACGTGAAATAAAATTTATTGGTAGGTTTTCTGGGTTACTAACGTTCCACAGATTATGCTAGCTACCGTTACAGCACGGAATTGCTGTATATGGAAACAAAATCTGCAGGCTGGAACTGCACATCGAGGGCCTAGGGACTTGAAATGATACCCTACTAGTAAAAGTGGACTTAAAATCCACAGAAGATCGAATTGGAAAGACCATTTCCAAATTTTTTCAATACTGTTGAAAGAACTGGTGTACGGACACAAAACGTGGTCATTGACGAAAGCTGAAGAGGGAGCGCGAATGCGACGAAAAGAGTCATGGAACGGAGGAGATCCTCATTGTTTTCTAGGCAGTCAAACTGTGCGTAAGATGAATCGCATAGAACCGTTAATGGTATACAGAAAGAAATAAAATATGACGGAGGATACATGCCGTCATTGCAGCTACTTATGGATTTTGCGTACTTGAGAGGTGCAACATATTGATAAATAGAGATAGTGTCATGTCAAAGTTCATGATTCGATTCTGCCATTGAAAAAGACCGTTTCTTGGTGCTCGTACATACCAAGAAATCAAAACCGCCATTAATTTGATTTTAAGCAGTGTCCGGAAAAAGAAACCAGCCACTGGTATCTTTACCTGTGCGTGGTTCTCTTTTTCCATGTACAGTCGTTCGGACTACTTACAATTGCTTCCGCCTTTCATAAAAAGTGGGTTATGAAAAGAATTTGATTTTATAACTTGTGGTTCGGGTAGTAGTTGGTAGAGCTAATAGATGGCACATGTGGATGGGAAAACTCAAATAGCCTCCGCGAAGGCGACGGAGTTACTCAGGCAGTCTTTGGGGAAATGAGGAGTAAATGTAGCAGTGGCGATGTGTACAAGCTGGATGCATGCGACTCAAAAACAGGAGGGACGCGTGCGGTTGCATCTTCCTAGTACCATCAGAGCTCCGGATCGACAGTGAAGATGATTCTGTATTGCCACTGTTGTAATTAATTAGGTGAAAATTTTTTCGGTTGCTCTAGAAAAGTTACTCGAAGCCGAAATTAGTTCTCGCCCATCCCTTATGCCTTCAGCCTGAATACATCATTAGTTTCTAGTAGTAGTCCCGTGAGGTATCTCATCGCCGTTCCTTCATCTCCACGATTTGTCTGTGGGTGTGTTCGTGTCTGTTGACTAGATAAGGTCGGTCGGTCGGTCGTGTGTTATTAGAAATGAAAAAATTTTTGAAGTAGCTGAGATTAGGATTTGAGTGTACCAGAAAGCGTTGATTAATTGAGGTGCGAGTCTCACTGAATTCTGCATCCATTCACAGTCCAGGTCGTTTTTCGAATTTCTGCTTCCAACCCTCCTCCGTCCGTTCTTCTTTCTTAGCTTCCAAGCTGCTGCTTGCCCCACCGAACACGGTCTTGCACTGGTACACCATCAGCACAGTTGCTTGTCTCTTGCTCTTCCTACTATCAGCTATAAGTCCCTATATCACGGCCCCCTGTTTCCTTATTGCGGCTTAAATCATCGAACGTGATTCACATCCGCTCCTATGGAAACATTACCACTGAACTGGCTTTTGATGAAACGAAGTAAGAACACATTCACAAGGTAAGGAACCACCAGAAGTATTAAGCTTCGGGGTCTAGCAAGTTGGAGCACATTTCCATTGAATTGGTGCGGATGCGGTCTGGTATAGGCGATACTGTTAAAGCAGTGCATTACAGGATGGAAAGCTGTGCAAATCGCATGGTAAGAATGAAAGATAACAGATGAACAAAGCTGATTATTAAACGGTACTCACGCAATTCCAAAAAAAAAAAAAAACACCCCACTGCGATAGGATCCGCTAGAATGACTATATGGAATTATGTAGATGACAGAGGTCCAATATAAACAAGAATGGAGAATTTGCGGCTGCATCAATAGCAAGAAATGAAGCTGAGCCAAATATTCTATTATATAATGCCAAGAAATTATAAATAAATGAGTGACGTGCCGGCCATCGTCGTGTCCAAGAGAGAAAGTAATATCGGCTGACAGTGACACATTACCGTCTTTGCTGATAGGCGGTGGACGTCGCGTACTCGTGCTTGGGAAAATCCTTTTCAGGTTTTTGCGTCTTTGGCATCTCTATAGTGTGTGGTCCTGCGACATAAAAACGTGTTTTCTGTTAGCTAAATCACGTGCGTGTTTGTCTGTTTGTTTGTTTGTTACAGTGACACAATTCGTTTTCCCGCTGTTTTACACACGCCATTAATAGCAATTTCCATAACCACGAAAACTAGGAAGCTGAAATTTCAAAGCTCACAGTCCCCGATCATGCAGAGAGCTGTCCACAATATTTTTCGTTTGTCCTGATTTATGCAGACGCACGACTTTGCCTCTCGCTCTTTCCTTTATTTAACGGTGCGCACAGTTTGCAGCATCACGTCCCACATTTTTTCCCGCTATTGCATTTGAGTGGAATGTTTTCGGGACATACTTGTCGGAATGGCATAAATTTGGAGACGTGAAGTTTTCACTTAAATGCTTCTTTTTGCTATAAGTTGCAGCTTAATCGTGCATCTAAACTTTTCAGACTGCAGCTTAAAAATGTTATGCACATTTGCAGATACAATGTACTGTGAGATAGATTGCTCAGAGCAACTTTTCTTGGAAACACGTGGCCCAGCAAATCCAGCGACCTAATTTGCGCCGCTTTTCACTTATTCATGAGAGGGATATGTACGCTTTACCTGTACCTAAGAGTTTCATCCGCTGCTTACTTGCCCTGTACATCAGTGTTGAGTGCGCGGTGCGCGTGTGTATGTTTGTATGTATGCGCTTGTGATTGCACATCATACGCGTGTATGTGCTTGTGCATGCGCGTGTTTGCATGTGTGTGTAGGTATTTTGCAGGTTTACGTGCACTCACGTATGTATGTGCGCGTGTACATGTACGTGTCTGAGCATCTGCGTGTATACGTGTATGTAGTAGTTATACGCGTGTGGACGCACATGTGTGACCATGCTTTCTATATGTGTGTGCGCGTGAGTGTATGCATGTCTGTACGTGCACGTATGTGTGTGTGCGCTTGGAATATTCGAATTTTTGAGCACTGTTTATATCGTTTGTTGTGGTTTGACCCTTTCCCAGTGCACCTCCTTTGTTCTCCATTCAACCGTAAGTGCCTCTCGGCTTTCGGAATACCGTGTTGTAATAGGTCGGCATGCTACTGCTGCAGTAGTAGTGGTCATCGTGCTGGTGGTGGTCGGTTGGAGCATGATGATTAGGGATGAGCCGAGCCGAGCCGAGCTGAACCGAGCAGTAGTAGCAGTATAGCAGCATTGCATTATAGGCAAACACACATCGAGGTCATTCATTGATTGACCGATAGATAGATAGTTCGATGGTTTGCGAATGGATATTCTCAGTGTGAGTGAGTGTGGACAAAATGATGGACACGGACGCACCACGCGCACACGGATGCCAGCCAGCCGTCCATCCAGCCAGTTCGATGAATTGTTTTCTTCTTGACTCAGTCAGTATCTGTGTATGTGCGTTCGTACCTTTTCCATACAATCGCCCCAGCTCTTGCTTGCTCCGTTTCTCAGCAGCAACATCAATCCATGCAAGAAAAGGGCTGCTTTCAGGAACATATGCGCATGAGTGAACTACTAATTTTACCTCGTCCTGGAAAGCGAGTATCAGTTTTACCTCATATCGTTTTTTCTTTTATTTCATCTCGAGCTCTTCACAATCACACTTGGTACTGTGTCTCATTTCTGTGAGTTAAGGCGGCTTCTAATTGCTT